TGAAGCAGCAGTCTATGCCCTCAAGAAACTTACATTCTTACTAGGGAATTTACATGTATACAAAGGTAAGTAAATACAAGTTTACTTAAGGGAGGAGAGTACACTAATCACTAAGGATGTCAGGAAAGGATTTATAGAAGGAATAATGCCTAAGCTGAGCCTTAAATAAGGATAATGAGGATTATGAGAGGCAGAAGTTTGTGTAAATGCATGGAGTCTTGGGATGGAATTGAGTTTAAAGAATGGCTACAAGTCCAGGTGTTTGACACAGAAAATTTTAAAGTGAATGTGAAGTAAAACTGAAAAGGTAAGTTGGAACCAGTTTACGGAGGGCTTTAGATACCAATTCACAGTTTATCCTAGAGGCAATGAGAAGCTGAAGGGTTTTAAGCCAGGTAGTGGCACGGTCCAACCTATTGGCCTTCCGAAGATTACTTTGACAGAAAGCTTGAAGGCAAGAAAGCCAATAAAATTGCAATTATAATGGTCGAAGTAAGAGGTGATAAAGGTATGAACAAGGATGGTGGCCACAAAAAAGGAAGTATTGAGATGTTACATAGCTAAAATCAAGATTTGGCAAATTATTAGGTATGACAATTGGAGACAAAGGAAGAGCCCAAGATGACAGTGAGGCTATGAACCTGGGTGACTGGAAGGAACTAATAAAGCTGGAAGATGGGTGGTTCCATTTTGGAAATGTTTGGGCACTTAGACAGCTAGGTGACATGATGGATGGAGTACTGGGCTTAGAGCCAGGAAGCACTAAGTTCAGATCCTATCTCTGACTTAGCTATGTGATCCTAACCAAGTCACTTAACTTTTCTCAGTCTTAGCTCCCTCATCTGTAAAATGTGGATAATAGCATCATCTACTTCACAAAGTAAATACAAAGATCAAATGAAATGCTGTACAAAGCACTTTGCAAACCTTAAAACACTATGTAAATGTTAACATCACTATGTTGAAACCAAGATATCCATGGGCCATCCAGGAGGCAATTGGCAATGTGCTACTAAAGTGGTTATGACATCATCTAATTAGAAAGGATTTTGAACTCACAACAACAAAGGAGATCACCAAGGAAGACAGAGGAAAGAAGACGTGGGCCTTTGTCACTTATCCACCCATTATAGTGGAAAAGGGGGTGGTCTTAGAACAGAGAACTGAGTACAAATGCCACCTTCCTCACCAGCTATATGATTATGGGGAAGTCATTTAACCTGAGTGTTTCATCTATAAAATGGAGAATTTTATTACCTGTAATAACCACCTCCTCACAGAGTTGTTGTGAGGCTCACATTTATTTATTTTTTGTTACATTTTGAGTTCTGACTTGTCTCCCTTCTTCCTCCCAACCACTAGAGAAGGCCAACATTTGACACAGACATATATGTGAAACCATACATTACACACTTTCATATATAGATTCTTTCTCTGGAGGTAGATGGCATCTTCCTTCATAGGTCTTTTGCAGTTGATTTTAATATTCTTATTGCTCAGAATAGATTAGTCATTCAGTTATTCTGCGAATACTGCTATTATTGTATACATTCTCTTGGTTCTGCTTGTTTCATTTTTCATTATTTCATGCAAGTCTTTCCATGTTTTTCTAAAATCAACTTGCTCATCATGTCTTACAGCACAATAGCATTTAATCATTATATACAATTTGTTCAGCCATTCCCCATTTGATGGGCATCCCCTCAATTTCTAGTTCTTTGCCACTACAAAGAGTGTTACTATAAATATTTTAGAACATATAGGTTCTTTTCCTTTTTCCTTGAACACCTTGGGAAACAGATCTAATAGTGGTAATGCTGGGTTAAAGGGTATACACAGTTTTGACTCTTTAGGCCTAATTCCAGATGGCTCTCCAAAATGCATCAGTCAGTTTCACCAAAAATCTACTAGTGTCCCAATTTTTCCACATCCCTTCCAACATGTCATTTTCCCCTTCTATCAGTTTAGCCAATCTGATAAGTGTGAGATGGTATCTCAAACATATTTTAATTTCTCTAATCAATAATGATTTAGAACATTTTTTCATGAGTATGTATGGCTTTGATTTCTCCCAAAAACTGCCTGCTCATATCCTTTGACCATTTATCAATTGGGGAATGACTCATATTCTTATGAAGCTGACAAAGTTCTCTATGTATTTGAGAAGAGACCTTAATCTGAGAAACTAATTTCCCCTCCAACTTTCTACTTCCTTCCTAATCTTGGTTATATTAGTTTTATTTGTACAAAACCCTTTTAATTTAATGTAATCAAAATTATCCATTTTACATCTCACAATGCTCTCTTGTTTATTCATGAATTGTTCCATCCATAAATCTGATAAGTATTACGTTCCATGTTCTTCTAATTTACTTATATCTCCCTTTATGGGTAGGTCATGTATCCATTTTGACCTTAATATATGATGAGATATTGGTCTATATACACCTAGTTTCTGGCAGACTGCTTTCCAGTTTTCCCAACAATTTTTTTTAACCAAACACTGAATTCTTATCCCCAAACCTAAAATGTATCAAATATATGGTTACTACAATCATTTACTACTGAGTACTATATATCTACTCTCTTCCACTGAACCACCTTTCTACTTCTTGGCCAGTACCAGATAGTTTTGATAATTAGCACTTTATAAGAAGTTTAAAAGTTGGTACTGCTAGACCTCCTTCCTTTACTTTTTTTTCCCATTAATTCCCTTGATATTATTGACCTTTTGTTCTTCCAAAGGAATTATTTTTTCTAGCTCAATAAAATTTTTTTTGGTAACTTAATTGGGATGGCACTGAATGTTGATTAGTTTAGGTAGAATTGTCATTTTTATTATATTGGCTCAGTTTACCCATGAACAATATTATTTAGATTATTTAAATCTGACTATTTGTATAAAAAGTTTTTTATGATTATGTTCATCTAGTTTCTGGGTTTGTCTTGGCAGATATACTCCCAGGTATTTTATATTTCCTATGGTTATTTTAAATGAACTATCTCTTCTTGAAGGGCTTTGTTGGTAATATATAAAAATAATGATTTATGTGGGTTTGGTTTATATCCTGCTACCTTGCTAAAATTGCTTCCATTAACTTTTTAGTTGAATTTCTAGGATTTTCCAAGCATACCCTAATCTCATTGTCTGCAAAAACAGATAGTTTTATCACTTCACTGCCTACTTTGATACCTTCAGTATCTTTTTCTTCTCTTATTGCTATTGCTAGCCATTTCTAGTACAATACTGAATACTGATGATAATGGAAGTCCATCTTTCACTACTACTGATCTCACATGATAATTTCTGTAAAGTGCTTTGCAAACTTTTAAGTGCTACATAAACGTCTGTTATTATTGTCCTTATTCCCACATTTAGGGAGAGGTAGCTCAAGGTTCCACATAGGAAGAGAACTGGGAGAAAGCTATATCATAGAAGCCAAGCGAAGGATGGTGCCAGAAGCAGCCAAAACCTCAATAAAGACTGAGAAAAGACCACTGGATTTAAGAGCTCACTAGTGGTAGGACCAGAAGCCAGATTACAAGAGGTTCAGAAGTTGAGTACATGATAGACAAGTAAGAGTCAATAAGTGCAGACAACTCCTTCAAGAAGCTTGTCAATAGGGAAGAGGAGAAATAAAAGATGGTGTGCATTATGCTGTGCTAAGTTTTGAAGGTGATACAGAGATACATGTCATAATCCCTACACACAAGGAGTTTATGGTGTAGAATTAATTTTACCAACATTATGAAGTTCTAAAAGATATACTTATTAGGTAGGGAAATAATAAAAAACAAGATTTAAATTGATCACAACAGGTAGAAATGCCAAACTAAAATGCAGAGGATAAAAATTTTAAGAGTTAAAGTGTAAGGTCTTCCATTTTGACTTTAAGAAAATAATTATGTCATGTGTAAAATTGCACTGCTTTAAAGAACAATATTTGAGAATTAAAAGTTTTTCAGAAATGAAAAAAAAAATACATGAATGCAGAATGGGGGAGGATATAATTTGAAAAAAATTCAACTGAAAAAGATAGAGGCAATCTAGGTGAGTAGTCAGCTTGATGTGCCTGGGGGGAAAAGTAAACCAAAACATACTCAGGCTGAATTCATAGATGATATAAAATCAGGTAATTACAGTATTCTGCACTGATGAGACTACATTGGGAATACTGTGTTCTGGGTGTCATATTTTAGGAGGAACACTGATAAATTAGTATGACCCATCTAGTGAGTTGTCTAGAAACCACATCCTTTGAGAAAAGTTTAAAAGAACTGTAAATGTTTAGCCTAAAGCAGAGGATGAGGAGAAAAGGAAAGTGGTGGGGGAGGACAGTTATCTTCAGAGAAAAACACTTTATTTGGAGTCAGAAGACCTGGTTTTGAACACTGGTTCTACTATTTACTAGGTATATATGACCATGGCCTTCACTTCACCTCTGGAACCGGACACCCTCATCTATAAAATAAGGGTAATTTGGCTCTCCAAGAACTCCACTCATTCCAAATCCTATAATTCCCTAGAATTAGAAGGTTTATCAGTTAGAAGATTAGACTTACTGAGATTTATGGAGTCTGATGTAATTATGGTATTGGACTATAGGTTAGGTAGCTATAATTGGGTTTGAGTCAATGATAAGAAGTGGTGCCATAGTCTCTGGGAGAAACATGTTGGCTGTCAATGGAAAAAGGGTTCCCTTCTCTAGATGCCCCAACATGGTCACACTGAAAGATAGCATTTCTTCTTTTGGTTTCAGTATCTTAATTTGCACAAGGAAATCATACTTGTATCAGTTGAAATTGACAAGGCTACCATAGTTTAGTGTGCTGGGTCTTGACATAGTTTAAGGATGTAGCGGTACTATGAGACAAAGGGGAGAAACACTCCTTTCACCTTGGAAAACCACCAAGGCATCAGAGCTTAAGGTGCAGGAATAACCAAGGGGAGAAAACAACAGGAAAAGAAACAGAAAGAAAGCCTTTGCAGAGATAAGAGGTTGGTGGTTGTTTTTTTTTTTAATGGCACTGCCGATGGCTACAATCATATAGCTCTTCTGCTAACTTGATCTTTGGGGTTTGGTTTTGCTCCAAGAATAAATGATATGATATGATCTATCCTTTACAACACTCACACAGAAGCAAATGAACTATGTACACACTAATTGGGGGAGGGTGGGTCAACATGCTTAACTCACATAATGATAAAAATAATATGGGAGTTTCTTCTTCTTTTTTTAACCTTTAAATCAAAGACTGTTCATTTTGCATGGGTCAGCAGAAGGGCCCTAATCCTGAGCAATCTCAAATCATGTCAACTCCAAACATTGGTATCCCGCCACTGTAGTCATTTCAGTCCTTTGATTGTCACTATTACACTATATAGATAATGGGTTTGTACAAGCAGGGGATACACACACATAATAAACAGCAGCTTTGGTGGTACTGGTTGGGCTGGTGCTTCTTCACTGGACTTTAGTGATGGCTTCATGGATGGAGGTAGCCACATAATCCAGATTCTTTGTGGTCAGGCCACACATGTTGATCCGGCCACTTGGCAGTAGGTAGATATGCTTTTCATTAATCAGATATTCCACTTGCTTAGCTGTTGAAAAGACAAAACTCATAGTTAAAATAGTAAGTTGGTTCACAAAAGAAGCCGAGTATTTAGGACATTGTCATTTTTCCTTCCTCCATTCTCCAGCAGAGATACCAAATGACAAAGGACATAATCTATTCAATTTATATAAGAAAAACTGAAGGCATTAGTCTCTGAGGAAGTAGCCTTTTGTTAATTTTTACCCCCAGGAAACTACATTTTGCTAAAAAGTACTGTAGACAATGAATATTTTTACAGCAAGAAATTTTTACAATAAGTTTCTCTGATGGAGCCTTGATTCTCAAAAACATAGAGAACTGAGTCAAATTTATAAAAATGAGAGCCATTCCCCAATTGATAAATGATCAAGGGATACGAACAGGCAGTTTTCAGAAAAAGAAATCAAAGCTATTTAGTTATATAAAAAATGTTCTAAATGACTATTGATTAGAGAAATGCAAATTAAAACAACTCTGAGGTACCATCTCACACCTATCAGAAAAGATAAATGCTGGAGGGGATGTGGGAAAACAGCTACACTAATAAATGAGTGAGTGCTGGAGTTATGAACTGGTCCAACCATTTTGGAAAACAACTTGGAACTGTAGCCAAAGGGCTATGAAACCGTGCTACCATCTGACCCAGCAATACCACGACTAGGTCTGTATCCCAAAGAGATCAAAGAAAAAAGAAAAGGACCAATGCATACAAAAATATTTATAGCAGCTATTTTTGTAATGGCAAAGAATTGGAACTTGAGGTGATGCCCATCCACTGAAGAATGGCTGAACAAATTGTAGTCTATAATTGTGATGGAATACCACTGTGCTACATGGTTTCAGAAAAACCTGGGGAGACCTACACTAACTGATGACGTGAAGTAAAGTGAGCAGAACCAGAACAGGGTACACAATAACAGCAGTATTGTAATGATGACTGACTGCAAAAGATGTAGCTACTCTGATCAACACAATAATCCAAGACAAATAAAGAAGGACTCATGATGAAAAATGCTATCCACTTCAGAAAGAGAACTGATGAACTCTGAGTGCAAACTGAAGTATAATTTTCTCATTTTATTTTTCTTGCTTTTTCAAGTCACATGGCTAATATAAAAATATGATTTGCATGATTTCACATGTGTAATGACTATCATATTCCTTGCCTTCTTAGTGGGTGGGGAAGAGGGCAGATGGAGGAAGAGAACTTAGAACTCAAAATTTTTTAAAATTTTATTTAATATTAAAAATTTTTTTAAAGGCAATTGGGGTTAAGTGACTTGCCTAGAGTCACACAGCTAGTAAGTGTTATGTATCTAAGGCCAGATTTGAACTCGGGTCCTCCTGACTTCAGGGCCAGTGCTCTATCTACTGCACCACCTAGCTGCACCTCAAACTTTTAAATTATCTTCTTTTTATTTATTTTTTAGGCAATTGGGGTTAAGTGACTTGCCCTGGGTCACACAGCTACTAAGTGTCAAGTGTCTGGTCTGAGACTGGATTTGAACTCAGGTCCTCCTGACTTCAGGGCCGGTGTTCTATCCACTGTGCCATCTAGCTGCCCTCAAAATTTTTAAAAAATGCTTAAAAATTTGCTTTTTTTTTTTTGCACGGAGGCACAAAATAAAAGGAAAAAATGCCTGCCCCCCTGCAGCTTACATTCTATCTGCCTGTATAGCAGTAACAGCACTTCAAACTGATTCTAGCTATAACTTTTAGTTGCCTATTACAGTATAAGGTTCTAGCAAGCCCGAACTGTGTATCTAGTAGTGCCTCCCCCATCTTGTACTTGTGAAGTTGACTTCCCCAATCCAAGTGTAAGACTTCAAATGTGTCCCTACTACATTTTATCTTATTAGATTCTGCCCAACACTCTAGTCTATATCAACATCTTTTTGAACAGCTACCTCTCCCAGCTTTAAAAAACAAACATGTTTTGATGCCTTTTTATAACACTTTTCATTTCCTCCCAAAAAGTAGTTAATCAAAGCTAATACACTGACCACATTTGATAAAATGTCTCATCCCCATATCTATAGTCCATCATTTTGCTACTGAGGGGAGGGAAATAGGTTTACTCCTCAGTCATCGGAAGTCACTGCACTGTAGTTCTGCTATCTTTCATGTTGTTTTCCTTTACATTATTGGATTATCTGAGCAGATTATTTTCTTGGAACTATTTAGCTTTATTCTTTTCTTCATCAGTTCATACTAGCTTATCTGAATTCTTTGTATTCATTGTTTAATACAGAGCAATAATATTCCATCACATTAATATATTATGTGTTCAGCCATTCCCTTATAGATGGGAATCTACTTATGTTTCCAATTTTTTGCTAACACAAAAAGGGGTGGAACAAATTTTTTTTTTTGCACGTATTATCCCTCCCAGATTTGTGTCATCTGCAAATCTGAAAAGCACATGATTTAGGCTTTACCAAAGTCCCTGATAAAACTGTTAGAAAACACAAGGCCAAGTATTTACTCTTGGGACACTTCACTGGAGATCTCCTGCCAAGTTGACATTTGTGTGGTCATTCAAGTAGTTCTATTGCCATCTAAATGTATTATTATCATCTAGTCCCATGACTTCTTCTCTTTTGCACAAATATAAGATGAGATAGGATATGAGAGGCATTGTGGCACAGTGCCAGAAAGGCCGAGATTCAAGACCTGCCTCTGACATATACTGGCTGTGTAACCCTGGGCAAGTCACTTAACCATCCCACCCTCCCAAGCTTTAGGAAGCTCTCTAAGACTCTATGTTGCAGAAAAGTTGACAACCTACAGCACTAGAGGTAATTTCCTTTTTTTAAAAAATTCTCTATATAAAATAAATCACAAGTTTAGTCCCTATTCCTATGACATGAAATACTCTAATAAATGCTTTGCTAAAATTTGGATAAACTCTAGCTACAGCTTATTTCAGATTTACCAGTTAAGTAATCTTGTTTTAAAAAACAGGGGAATAAGGTTTATTTGGCATGATTTTTTCTTTGTGAAGTTCTCAATAAAAATCAGATATTATTTATGAAGTGCTACCTAAATGTTCTGATGATGATGATGATGATGCAGTGGCTCTTTCTAACCCACCATTAATTTCCTCACTTTTCTGTTGTCTTTATCGCTCACAGAAAAGTTAGCTACACAGTCAGGCAATCCTTCTATCCACCCACATTTCTAACTCTTGCCTAAGTTACTAAATACTCTTTCCTTTTTGTCCCTTTCTTCATTCCGTTTGTGAGCCCTAAACTACCTTCTTTGTGGCCATAAGCATAAAATTAGTGCTAAAGATCACACCTGCCTCAAGGAGAAAGGAATTAAGACCTGAGAGGCAGTACCATCAACCTCTAGTCACCCTAGAAATAGTCATAAATACCCTTTAGACTCACCAAAAAACCTCCATCTATTAATCAAAATGGGTCAGAAAGTAGTGCATTTACTAGTCTTATAACAATTTTCCACCATTACAGAGCCACACTTTGGGTTAAACCAGTTTTTGTAGGACAGCCTAGGAACCAAGTCACCACTGCTAAGTACCTGCATATAGGAAAAAAATGAGCTGATTCAAAACATTTGACTTCCAAGTTAGCTTTTAGAATACAAGGCTATTTTTTTTGGGGGGGGGCAAGGCAACTGAGGTTAAGTGACTTGCCTAGAGTCACACAGCTAAATGTTGTGTCTGAGGCTGGATTTGAACTAGGGTCCTCCTGGTTCCAGGGCTGGTGCTCTATCCACTGCACCACTCAGCTGCCCCTAAAGCTATTTTTAAGATGGAGACTGCCTCCACTGCACTTTAGCTAGTTCTGAAAATGGCCCAAAGCTTACTTGACCTTAGGCTTTGTCTTCCAGAAAACATAAAGGTGAAGTTTCTTCCTTATTATAAGATGCAATGTAGTTATTAGCCAGCAAAGAGAATTGTATCAACAGATACAGCTACAACTACTAGGTCCTCTCTCCCGTAACAAACTCCCCAAGCCTCCTCAGGTTTTCCCAGAACTCTTGAGATGTAGTCAGCCATAAGCTTCTCTGACCCAAAGAAGCCTCTTTTATTAGGAAATTTATTACAATTGAACTGATCTTCCTATTTAGCTGTATAACTGCTTAATGTCTTTCACAAGTTAAATTTAAGTTGGACCCTAGATATTAAAAATGAATTCTGATAATTCTGTAAAAACTCTATAAAATCTTAAGTAAGAGATTCAAAACAACAGAAGCTATTTTAGGAGAGTTCTGGTTTTATGCTCATTAAGACAGTGGCAGGCCACCTCACTTTAGGATAAAATACTTCCAATAGCTCCTTTGCTTCACCCCAATGTATTTCCTAGATTTGCATTTGAATAAACTAATGTTTTTGAGTGCAGAATTCACAGGCCAGAGTTGCTGAAGATCTGATAGCAAAAGGCCTAATTTCTATATTCAATAACTGCTTGATTAAAACACAGAAAAATGAAGACTAATTGAAACAGGAGACTATAAAATGTCATTTATAAATTATCACGTGAAATTAAGGACCAGCAGAATTCCATTTATCTGTTTAACTATCATTTATATGCAGAATAACAGCTGGGACCCAAAATGCCTCCAAGGGCAAGTAGTGACAAAAATATTCAACAATACAGATGTCATTTTTAAAGGTAGAATTATTTCCTTCAATGTCTTTGGTAAAATATGTGTGAATTTTTATTTTTATTTCTTGTTTTGTTTGAATAATTAGAAGGAAATTAAGCACAAGTAAGAATCAAAGACATTTCCATTGATACTTCCTGGCATAATGGAAAGAATGCTGGCTCTGGACTCAGAAGGCCTGATTTCAAATCCTGGTTCTGCCATTAAATACCACGTGACCTTGGGCATGTTACGCTCCCTGACTTGTTCTTTTTTTAATCTACAAAATAAGGTTGAATTCCAAGGTCTCTTCCAGCTCAATATAAGGCTTTATGATTCTTCTTAGAAAATAAAAATGTGAAAAAGTCACATCAAGCTTCTAAGTGATATAGTGTAGAAAAATGGCACTGGACTAGGAGTTAGAAGACCTGGATTTTAGTACTCGCTTTATACACACAAAGCAATGTGACACTGTACCCTAGGAGGTATAGTTCTAAGTAATTAGATGCAACTACTATTTTTGGAAGAAAAAAAGCCCTTTTTTTTTTTAAAGAAAATTATTAGAAATTTTTTAGAAAAGTAAATAAATTTAAAAAATATAATTTTTTGGAAAGGTAAACAATGATGGAATCTGCTGAAACAGATAATAAAAATTCTACCTTGGTTTTGTAAGCACAAATATTAATGAAATAACTTGCATTTTCTCTGTCTCCCTAATTTTCAAATGAAAAGAGAACCCTGAAAATAGGTAACTACTATACTTAACAGATGCTTATCTGAAGCATATAAAGTATTAGTGGGCTCAAGATCCAAGTACTTCCTGTGATCTATAACAATAAAATAGTTGTCTTTTGCTTTTTTTAAAGTTTATCCTATGCCTTTAAATTGAAACGTCATCTAGCAATACTCCCCTTCCCTTGAATCCATTATCTCCCAGTAAACTATTAACACTGGCAGCCACACCCCATCACCCTTAGAAATGCTTGTTATCATTACTTATAATAGAACTGAGGTTTCTATAATACCTTATGAAGCCCTTTCTACAAAATCTCATTTATCATTATTATTATTATTGCTAAAAGGATCATAGGATTTTAGAGCCAGGAAGGGACGGTAGAGATAGTCTAACCACTTCATTTTATAGATTAGTAAACTAAAGTTGTATGAGTGGCTTGTCTAAAGTCACACAGGAAATCAGTAGCAAAGCCAGAAATCTAACCTCAGTCTTGTGACTCCAAGCCCAGCACCTTTTCATAATACTACCCTGCCTCCAATATTAATGGCTCATTTTTAGTGTTTTAAGGTTCACAAAGCACCTTTCTCACAACAATGAAAATATCAAAATGAAGCAACAGTCTTAAGAGAGGTGAAACTGCTTTCCCAGGATCACAAAGGCCCAGATATAGTACAGAACTTGCCTAGGATCATATTGCTGCTAAGTGGCAAAGGTCTTTCCAATTCCCAAGTCCAAGTTTCTTTTCACTATAACACTTTGTGAGTGCCTCTAGGGCAAGTAAATATTAGCTCTCCTAACTCTTTCCTTCTTATCATGAATCTCTAGGACTTAAAGAGATCTCTTTCTACCTGCTAGTTGACAAAAATTCCATAAAACTGATTGTTATGTTTTTAAATGGTTAAGTCTTCTACCATATCTCAAAAGGTGATTTTTTAAAAATCTCTATGACCAGTGAAGCTCCATCATGAAATTTTTTTCTCCAAACAAATCTTATAGAGAAATGTGGTGAAGCTAAAAGATAATGGGAAGCACGTACAAGGGTTCAACATTAGACTTTAGCCTGAAAGTTAGAAGTGAAATCTGATATCCTTCCTAATTTGCTTATATCCTGTGCTTATACCTATTCCAAGCCCACATGGTTAAAAAAAGCCCAACCATCTGTCAGCTGCTAAGATACCAACTCAGGCTACTGGAACCCTCATGGCTGTCAAAAGACTTAAGCAGCAAACAATGAGAAAACTGTACTTGTTCTAGGTCACTGAGTTCCCTAGAGTTTACCTACACTGACCAACTAGGCTGCTTTAACAGCTTAGTTGATGATCAATTAAAAAGGCAGTCTATTGGAGATGAATTATATGAGGCTATGATGGAAGGAGTACTGGAATAAAGGACAAGTGTGCATAAAAAGAAATGGAAAGGAAATTGGAGGAGATGAATAAAGGTTAGTAAGGAACAAAGCTGGAGGAGGTAGGTTACAACAGCGGCTTAGCAAACTTATTTCCTATAAAGTCAACTTCAGAGATCGAGGGTTACAAATGGACAACCCAGGAGGCGGCTTGCCTTGTACTTACTGGTTAACCCTGTGAAACTGAACATTCCAATCTGTTCCGTGATGTGATTCCAGGTTCCTGGGGTGCCGAGGGCTTCCAGGCGAGATCTGAGTTCGGCTCTCATTGACAGAATTCGGTCAGCCATTGTCTTAACATTTTCTTTCCTGTAAGAGTGAGAAATGAAGTAAATTATTATCTAGATTAAAAGGAAACATTTTAGACACTCCTACCAACTAAAAATTAGCTAGCAAACATTAAAAATGGGTTCAGAGGAGGATTGGTCCGCTTTATTGTAAAGATAATGCTTTAATTTATGCAATGGATTAAAAACAGACCTGATTAAACAGGAAATGTTGACAACTATTGACTCCATAAAATGGTTGTATAAGGTGTCTCAAAAGTCTTAGCGTAGTCTTAAGATTTAATACCCTGTATCTCACAGTGGGCACTAATCAAGCTAAGAAGCATTTGGTCATTTAATTACTTTGTAAAAATTCTATGTATTATCACTCTCATGTGATACAACTAGATGTTCTGGTCCACTAAGGGTTTCTTCCTGACTTCTCAACTCCATGACGACAGTATGGATAGACCAAGCATAGATCAAAAGAGCAAATCAATGTTGCTACCAGGGGTAGTGGAATACCACGAGATATTAGAACATTTTATTTCTCAACTGGCCAAGTCGGTAGACCACCAAAAGTTCTTCCCACTAGGTCCCACAGCCAAGTGCCTATATTAACCTCGTAGTAATTAATATTTGACTTGGCAGCTAAGTGGTGCAATGGATACAGCACTGAGCCTAGAGCCAAGAAGACCTAAGTTCAAATCAAACCTCAGACACTTACTAGCTGTGTGACCCTGGGCAAGTCACTTAACCCTGTTTGCCTCAGTTTCCTCACCTGTAAAATGAGCTGGAGAAAGAAAAGACAAACTACTCCAGTATCTTTGCCAAGAAAACTCTAAGTGGGGTCCCAAAGAGCCAGACACCACTGAACAACAACAAATATTTGACTTAGGTAATATTTTCACTTTTTAAAAATTCAGTTACATGTTTGTTCAAAACATATCCCTTTTGGATGTTGAGCCAAACAAGATGAGAGTCAAGAAGTCTATTTTGTAGGAAATGAAGTACTAGGATGCCCCATGTATCCTCTATTCTCTAGAACACTGGATTTTAGGATGAAAGGGAATTTGAGAGTTTGATCAGCCCATCCCCCTGCTTCAGCTTCCTAAGAGATTCTCAGGTCCACAGAAATGCTGAAAGACACAGCTCCTTGAGAGCAAGAAGCATGTAAACATCTTTGTTCCCCACCCCAACCTTACCCTCAACCAGGCACTTAATACCTTACATGTATTAACAGTAGGCAATAAATACTTGATAAATGAATCCTTAATACTAATAACTATTTGTCTGGTTATTACTTATTAACATAAATCATCTAATTTATGTAATGGGATAGGTTATGTATAAAGAAGCCCCATGTTCTCTAATTCTCTTATTTCTACCTGGGAACCTTACCACATGGTAAAGTGCTCAGGGCTGGAAAGGGTAGTGGCCACTATCCGAGCTCCTTGAGCAGGAGGGTTGGACCACAAGACACGCACAATCTTCTCCATCTGGGAAAGGACACGTAGGACGTTATCACCATCTTTCCCAACCACGGTCAGGTTCCCCACCCGCTCATCTAAAGAGAGAGACATTTATCAACTCTAAATCCAATGATCCTTCCCCCACACAAAAGCTTCCAACCCAGCCAAGACACTTGTGTGATACAGGCCCAGCGTGCTAACGGTGTTTCTTTAGGGGGGCACTCACTGTAGAGCCCGAAGTTCTTGGAGAAGGACTGAGCACAGAAGAGCTCAAAGCCCTCATTCACAAAATAGCGGACAGCCCAGGCATCCTTGTCTAGGTCCCCAGATGCAAAACCTTGATAGGCTGAGTCGAAGAAAGGGAACAGAAATCGGCGCTGCAAGGTGGGAAGGAGAGTTAGAAAACGGGAACTTGCCCTAGTCTTAATTTGCCCAACCAAAACAACCTATCTTCTCAGAATGAGCACCTGACTATGTTTACAGATTATCAATTTCTTTCCCTAAACTCCTATAGCTATAACTGGTGCCCTCTGTTCATCTATGAGCAGAGTAGCAAGCCAGAACTCAGGAGCTGGACAGGCCCATGGACAATATGGGAGAGGGCCCTAGCACATAAGAACATATTCAAACCAGAGGATCATCCCACCACATACATCGGAACATGAGAACACTAAAGGGGAAATCCTCTGTGCTCTTGCAATTGATTCTCTTCAGAGAATCCCAGTTGGCTAGCTCTTAGTCAACACATTTTAACACTGTATTTCTCAGGAGCTCTTAAGGAGATGATCCCAAGCCCAACTTTAGTGCACAAGGCGTATCCCTCAATGCTGATATTTAATGCCGACTGCATCAGTACAGCAAGGTTTTAAAAACATTAAGATGGATCTTACTGAGAGAGATGATTCTCTGGATTGACTGATGCCTTTGTGCCATCAATCAAGTGGGTTCTGGAATCATACCAGTACATGCATTAAAAAGGTATCTGGTCGTTATCAACAGCATCATGGACAGATGTCTGAAAGTGGCACTTACCTTCATGACAGAAGCAATCTTCTCCCACTGCTCTGGAGTTGGATCAGTGCCAGTGGGGTTATGTGCACAGGCATGAAGGACAAAGATAGAGAACTCTGGAGCATTCTGAGGAAAAGTAATATACATCAGTTCTGACTGGCATCAACAGGAAATATCAGGAAGTAGAATCAGTACTGGCTTGGTAAGCCAATGAAAGAAATGAGGAAGCTGGATTCGTTCCATACTTGTAATTAAACCCCAGAAAACACCACCTCATTTGAGGAAAGTGGCTCAGCCCTACTCAACCCAAAGACAAGACTCCCTTCTTCCTCCTAGAAAGCCTTCCTAATGCCACAGGGCTCCCAGTAACTTTCCATTATGTAGTAGATAAGACATAGAGAGATAGGTAGATAGACAGATAGATAGATAGATAGATAAATGTGTATGAGTGAATGAATAAATAAGTCTCCCACCTCCATATCTTGCAGCAGGCCCTGAAGGTCAAGCCCTCTCTTAGCTGCATCCCAGTAATGATATGTTCGGATGTCCGTAAACCCAGCAGCACCAAATACACCATTATGATTTTCTGAAAATATAAAGTTAGAGTGTTTCATTCACTACTTGCTATAATTTAAAATCCCACAATACATACAGACCTTTTCTTAGGGATCTTAAAGACTTCTTTCTTATTATGAGACTTCCTGGGACAAGGTCATTTATAAGAATTTTTGATATAAATTCTACTAGTTACATTATAACTGCAATTGCAATTTACTGTAGTGGTATATCCAGCTACCAAGTTACCTGCCTGTCCAATATTCTGATTTCACATTTTTACCATTTATTCTTGGTGAAATCTGAAGTCTAGTATCAGGTTACTCACATATAACCCACAACTCAACTCAAGGTTTTGTTGATATTCTCTCTGTGATCAATAAGGAAGTCAAAAGGATCATTGTTTCCTGTTCTCTCTTTTCATCCTTCCCAGACAAGGAAAAACTCACCCCAGGTTGGAGAAGACACATAGACAGGAGTGGCTGCATTGTTTGTTCCATTGTACCACTTGCGTAAGAACTCGGCTCCAACTCGAAGGGCGCCCGTTCCCCCCAAAGTCTGCACGCTTCCTATCTGAAACAGAGAAAGATGATCAGTGGTTGGGGGTAGTGAAGTTCTATTCATATTTTCCAGAGACTCAAAATCTCTGTGGGATGTTTCTCTGCTGCAGAATCTGAACCAAGATTTCTCAATTCCTTAGAAAACACATAAAACGAAATGGTTTCAACTTGTCAGACTGATCCATCTTGTACTAATGTGTCCCATATTTTTCAGAGATATTCTGACACCATATGTTATACTCATTTAATCCTTCCCTCTGATCAGCTTCATCTCCTCTTAAGAGTCACATCATAAGTCACATTAGTTCAGTGAAATATAGGGTGGATTAGTTTTCAGATTGAGCATCCTCACACATGCACACACACACATTTTCCTATTGATGCTTGGATCCTTTAATTCTGAGATGCCAGAATACCAATAACTGTTTAGCAGAGAAAGGAAAAAGCTCTGCTGCCTAAGTCTATCTTTATTGGTAGAATACTACAGATTAAGAATTAAATCTACCTAATGTTTTAAGCTAACAAGCCTGAATTAGAGTATTTGCAAATTAAATGTGTATGAACATACACAGAGCCAAAGCCACCCTCCAAATGATAAGTGGTCAAAGAATATGAACACACAGTTCTCAAAAGGATTGCAAATTATTAACAACCATGCAAAAGAATTCTCCAGATCACTAATAGAAATATAAATGAAAACAACTATGAGGTTTCATCTAACACCTAGCAAATTGGCAAAGATGACAAAAGAGAATCTTGAAGAGCTTACAGAAAGACTGACACATTAATGCACTGCCGGTGGATCTATGAATTGGTCCAATCTTTTGGAAAACAGTCTGGAATTATGTGAAGTGACTAAAACGTCCATATCCCTTGACCTGGAGATTACACTGATAGGCATGACCCCAAGGAGGCTAATGACAAAATGACAGACCTCATATACAAGAATATATTTATAGCAGTACTTTTTTTATAGTACCAAAAAACTGCAAACAAAGTAGATGCCCATTGACTGGAAAATAGTTAACAAGCTGGGGCGCATGGAATATAACAGATCATTAATGTTCTGTAAGAAACAATTACTGCCGTAATTACAATAAGCATGAGAAAACTATCTATGAGTGTGAAGTACTGTAGGGGCCTATGAGTGTGAAATACTGTAAGCTGGAGACTTTTTTTATGTGTAAGGTAGTTTTGCTGACCTTTTTTTTTTTGCAATAAGGGATGATGGGTCTGGGAGAAGAGAAAATATAGGTGTTATAAAAATGAAAGATATTGAAAAACCAGAAAGACAAACCAGGAAAAAGTGAATGACCCAAAACATGGGTCTGAGCCCATAAATTCTTATATTGATGTGTGTGTGCACGTATATATCTTAAATTGCTATCGTCTAATTAAGGCTTTATTGCTGTGGCTGAAAAAATTAATTACCCTGTGGCTAAGCTAGTAATGAGCCCCTCTCCACTAAGATAAGCTGACCCTTGATAGGCCTGTATTGAAAAGTATACAGATACTAACAAAAACCACGCAGCTTGTTCCCCTTTCACTAATTTTCACTGACCCCAATGGACCGAAACAGCAACACCAGCTCTATGTCTATTTAATATACTTAGCAGAAGAATCTGCTGTTGGCAATAGCCACAGTCTTAACCTGATACGTGTTTTCAAATCATACAATCTCTGATTTCTTCTTACAATGAAAATGTTGCTTTCAAATTCAGGCTATGAAAACAATCTGGCTGGTGTCCCTCAATAGGTATTTACTTCTTGGCTGATGCCCCATACCTGATAGAAGTGATTTCTCTAAACCTACTCAGCAGCTCAGTCACTGCAGCAGCAGAAGAGCCAAGATGCCTAATCCCCAATCTGGTTCTGTAGGTTTCTCGTGCTTCTCAGACAGTGACGTTATGTAACAACCTCCCTATCTTATCCATCACGCACTACTAGCTTTTACTTGTATTGTCTTGTACCCATGAGACAAATAAATCACATTTAAACTAAGCCAATACTCCTAATAAGAAATGCAAAATATCCTCACTGACCTTGGTTCCCAAGCACCCTCCTTCCTCAGAGCTCACCAGATTCTTAAAGAAGGAAAGCAGAGCTACCCTGAAATTTTGCTTATTACTCTGTGGACAACTGCCTATCAAGAAGGGAATTAGAGAGTGCTGAGCATGTTGGTGCTTCAAATGCAGGATTCCTAAGTCTGACCTGGAAAAAGCTAGATGCTGCATTGTAGGTACTCCATGCCCAGAACTGGCAACTCTTCCCAACCCTTCCCTTCCCCCCCACACAGAAAAGTTAAGGGCAGCCCAGAAATGGCAACAGGTATAACTAGATTATTGCAAAAGCCTCTGAGCTGTACACCCACGCTCCAGTGTACTCTATATGTACTGTCAAACCCATTTAACAATCCTTTTCAATTAAAATCTTCAATTAATAATTCTTTAGTAAATTTACTTCAACAAACATTTAAGTGGCTACTATGTGCAAGGCACAGGACCAGGCACCAGGGTTATAAAAACAAAGCTCCTCCCAAGGCTTGGCACTACTCTACCTGCCCAAACTTATTTCCCCAAACTACCTCGATAACATGCTCTATAAACTCCAGTTAGGCAAAAGACAGTAGTACATTATCCCACAATTATTCTATGTTTAGTTCTGCTTTCTTGACTTAATTTGTCCTGTTCCCCTCACTGGAAATGCTCTCTCTTTTTCTATACAAATCTTTTATTTGTTCATTCATTCATTCATTTGGGGGGGGGGGCGCGCCCTGGATTTGTTATTTTGTCAGCATGAGAAATGCCTAGCACGGAAACTCCATCCAGAAAAGCAGATTGTCATCAACAATTGCAGCTAGTCATACAACAGCCATCAAAGACGGGATTCGAACCCAGATCCTGTTTCATCTCTTATATTTTGCCCATCCTCACAGGCCCTCGAGTTCCACTGGTATTAAGTCTTTTTTAATCAGCTCTTGCAGATTTCTTCCACTTTGGAACTCGTAAAGTCACATTTGTTGCTATGCAGTCGTTTCCAGCCACGTCTTGACTCTTTGTGACATTTGGCAAAGAAACTGGAGTGGTTTTTCATTTCCTTCTATAGCTCATTTTACAGATGAAGAAACTAAGGCAAACAAGGTTAAGTGACTTTACCCAGGGTCACACAACTAGTGAGTGTGTGAGGCCAGATGTGAACCTCGGAAAGATGAGTCCTCCTGATTCCAGGCTTAGCACTCTCTCCACTGCACCGCCTAGCTAGCCGTCAGTGCTCGGCACAGTAAACACAAAATAGGGACCGTCTGATACTTGTTTGATTAGGAACTTTCTAACGTGTTGGAATTAACAGCTAGGTGACCAAATGGAACTGGATGTTTGCAAAATCAGAAGGCAGTGGTATAGTCCAAGTTAATGCACATACAGTGTTAGTCAGCCAAGAACGTATAGCAGGGACATGCTTTCTACACAGTGAGCAGCCTGCAGTTATTGACCTGGTCTTGCTTATCATTAGCATTTGGTTTACTTCCAAGTATCACTTATGTGAATTTCCTGCACAAGCTGTTAAAGGATAAATGATTCCTTACCCAGAACTTACCCGCTTCTCCTTGATAGCTGGGCTGTCATCCCCAAGAGCAATGCGGGAAGCATTGCTCCGGAATTCTGGCAATCCCAAGATAGGCAAGTATTCATGGTTTAGAGCGTCATTGCTAGCAATCTGATGTTCCACCTTTCTCACTACTGGCAAAACCCAGGGCTGGCAATCATCTGTGCGATATGCTGCAAGACAGAGAGGAGTATCTTACTAGAATCCCCCTTTGTATGAAAATTTGGCACGACAAAGAGGCTTATTGCCTCCTTCTCCAATACAGTACAGAAAACCATTAATAAAGTCCTACAGTAAAGTGATCACCATAAAGAAACCTTATGCATTCTGCTGAGGCCATAGTGTCATTGGGATGGGTTTACATTCTTGATGTTTCATTCCTATCATTAAAAATCAGTCTTTTCTCCTTCTGTATATTATCTAGCCCCTCATATCCAGTTAACTTCTCCTTATATCTAGCGGTCAAAATCAATGTTCTCAAACTGGGCCAAATGTGCCTAAGAAATTTGCCTATATAGGGAAAAATTCAGGCACCAGATACACTCTGCTCCTACAAATTTATATGCGAATGCAGAAAGGGGTAGAAGAAGCAGTATCTCATTTCTCTAGAGTACACATTACTAGTTAATAACCAAAGATAACTTAGGAATACACCTACATTTCAAAAACAGGTAGCTAGCTGCTACTGCCATCAACTGCTCCTTCAAGTAAGGGTCAATGTACAAAAACTCCTAGAATCACTGAACTGCAGAGTTGGAAGGGCTGTCTCAAAATAGCCCAACTTGTGCATGAACAGAAATCTCCTGGATATCCCATAGGCATCTTAAAATGTGAAAAAAGAAGACGTTTTCCCTCCTCTCCCCTTGCCCAGTCCCCTAAGGCTGCCCACCCCTCCTCCAAACTTTGCGACATGTTTTTGAGGATATCACAATTCTTCCAGGTATGGTGCTTGGCAACCGCAGAATCATTCTCAATTCCTCTCTCCCTCAAACCACCACATCCAAGGAGTTACTGGTCTTGTTGATTGTACCTATGAAACAAATCTTGCACCTACCTTCCTCTCCACTCACACAGTCACTACCCTCATTTAGGCCATCGTAACCTCTCATAAGGACTATTCCGATAGCTTTTTAATTGGTTTCCCTATTTCCTTTCTTTACCTCTCTGATCCATCATCCATATAGCAGTTAAAATAATCTTAGACCAAACCACACCACTTTCCTAATCAAGATTCTTCAGTGGCTCCCCATTACTTCTAAGTTAAATGGATTCTTCAGCATGGCATATAAAATCCTTTACAATATACCAATACTCTCTCAATCTACCTTTCTAGATTTATTTCACGTTACTCCCCTTCATTCACTCTTGTTCCAACTAAACTAGCCTATTTTGCTGTTCCCAAAACAAATATGCCATCTTTCACCTCCATTCATTTGGACAGGCTGTCTCTCATGACAAAAATGTATTCCTTCTTTGAACCTCCAACTTCCCCTAAGGCTCAACTCAAGTTTCCCCTCTTTGAGTCTTCAGCAAACCTAATTCCACCTGAGGAGTGGCCAAAGTCTGAACGCTCCAAGAATTCATACCATTCATTCCCACCTACCCCTATTACATGTACTTCCAGGCTGAGGCAAGTTAGTGTCTTAAGAAAATCTTTCTGGCTTGGCTTTATTACCTCCATTTGCCTAAAACAGCAGATCACATTACTAGCTGGAGCCTGAAGAATTTAGGTGAGACCTCAAAAGTTTAGCTCAGGTGATTAAATGGTTAGGATGCCAGAATTTCTGGATCAGCTTTACTACCTCTATTTAATTATGATGTCAAGGAACTAGTGACAGCTCCAGTGTCAATGGTTAGTCTACAGATTCCAGTTTCATCTACAATAGTTATTCCTTTTCATAATTTTACCTGATAAAGATCTTCCCTTTCTGCTCTCTGTTCTTTGATGTGCAAATCTTTGCCTTCCCCTTTGATCCCAGGTCAAATTCCATGGTATTCATCTTGCAGATGTACCTGAGACCTATATAATGTTGCTCAAACTGCTGCTCCCAGCCCACTGGATCTTTTATACCATGGGCCTATGCTCTGAGCACAGTAATAAATCAGTTTTTAAAAATGTTTCAGTGTGTTGCTAAGTATGATTGGCAGGAATACTATCAATGACATTGGATAATTTTTTTGTCATTAAGTAAGAAACCCTCCTTAGAGCTGAGTACCCACGACAAAAGGAAAAGACTCCTGAACCGCTCTAACCATATAACTCCCATTTCTCCTCCAGGCTGCATTTGTACCACGGATTAATCAATACTATACCAACCCCTTTAACCCTCAAAAGCCACATATAATTGATGTTACCCAAACACCTAAGAAATTAAGGGCAGCTTAATGAAACTCGCTCATTCCACCTGACAGAACCAAGGTCCAAAGGCTTAGTCACTAAGCCTTGGTGCAGGGGTGGGGAACCTTAAGGCCACAAGTGGCCCTCTAGTTCCTCAAGTGTGACCCTTGGACAGAATCTGTGAAGTTTGGATTCAGTCAAAAGGTCACACTTGAAGACTCTGAGGGCCACAAGTGGCCTGAAGGCTGCAGGTTCCACACCTCTGCCTTAATGGACACCAAAAGCACAGAAAGTCAGGCAAGAGTCTGAGGGACAAGCAAAGCCATTCAATTCTTATCTCTTAAGGGGTATAAGGACACAGAAAGACAAAGAAGCTCCTTCCAGTTCTCAGGGGGCTTATATTCTACAGAAGGAAGGTTAAAAGTTCACAGATAAGTAGTAAAGTGCCCTAGGGAATATCTAGAAGAAAGAAAGCACTATAGGCTAGTTGGGTGAAGGGCACTTCGGAGGTGGGCCCAAAGAACACCTTTAGGGGAAAATCACTCTTGCAACATGGTGAGAAGGTAGAGTACATTGTAGGTAGTAATATGAAAAAAGTTTAGAAAGGTAGCCAGATTGTGAGTTGCCTTAAATGACAGTCTGCATTTTATTGCAGAGGCATCAGTCAACAAGTATTTCTGAAGGACCTACTCTGTGCCAGGTACTATGGGAAGCTACTGACAGGAATATTGTTAACATCAGATGTGATATTACCTTCTCCGTCCAAAGGCCACACTGACACAGAGAGAAAGCACAATCCTAGCAATGTCAGGGATTCTGGTTACGTCCTGGCATTCCTAGTCCTGGCGGCACTTACTCTCAATCAGGTTGCGCTAAACCCCACCCCACCTGTAAACAAAACCAGCCCCAACCAGATCTGCAGCCAAAGTGGCTTCCGAAGTCCTGGCCTTGCTTGTGGGGATTTATGAGGATACTGTCAGAGCACAAAGACTCTCCACTGGTTATCTTTGCTCTTACCCCCTGTCTGAGCCTAATACAACTACCTGGAACTCTTTTAATAAGAGAAATCTTCACTTCCATACTCTCTTCCAAATATATTAGAAATTTCCCATGACTACTCTGAGGTATAGATGATAATAAGTCACCAGACATGTTACCTACTTGGGGTGAATAGAGAAAATATGCATGAATATGATAAAATAGTTCAGGCGTACCCTCGCTGAAATGAAAGCTTTCCAATTTTCAGAAAAAGATTGCTACCTTTTTGGGGTGGATTTTGTTCCTATGAATATGAAAACAGCAGGTGGGGGCAGAGAAGGTTCAGAAGGCCAATGACCAACTCTGTTGGCCATACACAGCTAGCACCTGCTAGAATCAATCATGAGCAAAGCCCTTTGGCAAAAACCCTCCAATGAAGCATTATTCAATTATCCAAAGCTTTGATGGGGTGCTTGTACTTGGACCCCAATTTCTCCCTAGCCTCAGAAACACTATCCCTGACAGTTTCTCCCTAGCCCAAAGACACTGTGCCTAGCAATTACTCATGAGTGGGCCCCAGCAAGACCCTTCTCTCTTTCCCAGGTACAGTTTCAAACAGCACCTAAAGGAATTACTAGTTTAAAAAACTGGCTTTGTACTGGGTCATAAAGACATTCTTACGCACTGGACTATCTATACTACCGCCCTACCTCATTATCTACATCCTGCGCTCCTCATTAACTGTATTCTAGACTTAACACATACGGGTACTCCCTACATCTATATTGTCAAACAAGACATTGATTGGTGGCAGACTGGACAACTCTCAGTTACCCCTGAACTCTAGTTAACTTAGTGACTTAGCAGGCCTAAAACCACACCTCCATTTGGCCCCCCCTTGTGGGCTTTTCCTAGTGAACTCTGGGTAAAATGCCTGAGCAGTAGGTATAAGAAGTGCATGTTCTTTTAAGAACTGACCCCTCCTTAACCACTCCCTAATCTCACCTGAATCATCTAATTAGCATATTTGGCACATGTTTTATTGTATTTTATCCTATATAAACTTTAACTGTACCACTCTAAGGTTGCAGGATCCTTAAGAATCCTTGCCCGCTGAAAAGCGTAACAATAAACTTTTTGCCAACTTGACTTAAAGAATGCTTGAGTCTGTGAATTCATTCCAGATGACCCATCATGTACTTCAGTCTTTGAGGGGTCACAACCTCTCAGACAGCAACAGCTTCACTGCCACAAACAGTTCTGGTCCTGCTGCATTTTCTTATATTCCAGTGTCTGTTGATCCTTGGCTATTTATTTGTTAATTTAAATTACATTTATTTCATCATCTTTGCCTTAGGGCAAATTCCTGCTTATTACTTTACTTTCCAGAGTAGTTGTGACAGTTATGATTTATACAATCTATGACCATATCTTAGAGTTGGATGACAGCCAGGATCTTTTTTGGAGCATCCTAACAAATGGTACTCTAGTGGCTGCTTGTGAGGCCTTAAAGGCGATAGTCCATTACCTCACATGATGGAGTGTGATGGACAAGACCAGAGCTAGAAGGGATTGCAGAGGTCATCTAGTCCAAGCCCTTATTTTAGAAGTGATTTTCCCAAGGTCACAAAAGTATAAGTGGTAGAGGCAGGGTTACCCAGGTTCTCTGACTACAAGTCCAGCTACTTTTCAGTGCACCAAGCTACCTCTAAGTTTTAGAAGCTTTTCACACTACCTACAACCTGTGTGACCTTGGGTAAGTCATTCAAGTTCTCTGAGGCTCAGTTTCCTTATTTGTAAAAATGAAGGGGGTGAATTAGATAACCTCTGGTCTAAGGTTCTTTCTTAGGCAGACAG